TTATATTAAGCGGGGCACCTATTTCCTGGGAATCTAGGAAGCAGCGAACTGTAGCATTGTCGTCGACAGAAGCCGAGTATATGGGGCTCTCAGAGGCATCCAAAGAAGCAATGTATTGGGTAAAGCTCCTATATGAAATAAATTTAGAGGAAATAGCACATATAACGCTATTCAATGACAATTTAGGAGCCCAGAAGTTAACAGAAAATCATATGTATCACAGAAGAACCAAGCATATTGATATCCGGCATCACTTCATACGCGAGGTGATCAAACAAGGGTTGATTCACATAAAGTATTTATGTACAGAATGCATGGTAGCAGACATACTAACGAAGGCTCTGCCCACGACAAGGCACATGCAATGTATTAAGTTATTAGGATTAACTGTTTAATTTGTTGTTTTTTTGCATAGGCGTCAGTTTTATTTCAAAGGGGAAGTGTTGGTATTGAAATAAAAAGACACCATATCCTTAAGTTGGTAATACACGTGTTGCCTGGCAATTCAATCTCGCGCGATTAACGCCTTTTGTGTGCGAAAAGGATCTAGACTAAAGATATTCAGACCACGTGTAGTTTAATAATATTTGATCACATTAAAGTGCAAATAGTAGGTATTCATTAGCTGTATATCATATTTTTTTTTCAAAATTTTTATTCGATGATTAAGGGTTGAAAATTAATAAATAAATCTTTGAAAATGATTTTTATAAACAATCCCTTGGATGACACCCACCGAAAAAATTAAGAATAATCCTTTACTATCTGACTATTATCTGTAAAAATTTCAAGAGTGTCGGATTGGTACATCATAGTTAAACAAAAATAAAACGAATGCAACGCCCTTTCATAAGGCAAAGCCGGCCTGAACGTTAGAGGCGCTCAACCTAACCGACCTACAGGGGAATACGTAGCGCCGACCCGCCACGTTTCTCATACCAGAAACAGCTCTCAGAAAAGTATTAGCTCTTCTTTCCCTAAACTGTGTGTTAATTAACAGTCATTTATTTAAATAATATATTAACAATTTAAATTTTTTAATTAAGTTTTCTGGTCCTAATTTTTAACGTCCGTGTTTTCACGGTGTTTCTCGTTTTAAGTATGTGGGAGCCCTAAAAAGAGCTGATTATGTTGTACGTTACAAATGGCACCCTTATATAAATGCAACTAAGGTGTTCCTCGTTTTAAGTATGTGGGAGCCCTGAAAACGGCTGATTATTAAGCCCTAAAAAGAGCTGATTGTGTTATGTATTGTCAGGTTGAAGTATATGATTTGAAACAGAAAACTCAAAAACTTTTTTTTTAAAAACACGCTTGTAAATAAATTTTAATCTTCGTCGCTATTTTCATCAATAACTGGAATAATGTTAGTTTTATCGAATAAGTGAGTTAAAATTTCGGACGGTTTAACTATTCTGGATTTATAACGCGCATGGGATAAATAATAAATGATCGCGACGACGTGGGAGCAACAAACTACCGTTCTGTTACCATTCGGACAATCGCATGCATATTGGTTTATACTCGCGTAACTATTTACGTTTGATTTGTATTCTATGTAACAATTGTAAGTTTTACCGTTTATATGTCGCGACCGAACTTTCATTTTTATAGTGTTATTGTTTTGTTGTAAATATTGTACATTTAACGCGTCATGTTCGTCCAATAACTCCGCAAGATAACGTTTTTACCGCGAGATTTTAAAGTTTGCAAATTCTATCCAATTAACGAGTCCTCTATATTCGGCAACAAGAGGGAACAAGACAGTGGACACTAAAATCATGGACTCAGGATCGTACGCTTTACCCTTTATGATGCGTCTATTTACACGCCAATTTAGGCTCCGTGATTGCGTAAAAAAGTGTCGGGGCATATAAACCGCATTGGAAAATACACCATTTGTACCATAAAACGCGCTTAACTCTTTTCTGGACACCCATATACTTAAAACGAAGGCCACCTTAATTGCAGCCATTTCCAGGTAGTACTGGTACGCTATAATATAATTAACCCTTTTCAGGGCGACCATATACTTAAAACGAGGAAAATCTTAGTTACAACTATTCACAGGTACCAGCTACAATTTAATTAAAAGTAATACGTACGTGAAAAGGTAAAGACGGAAATAGTTATAGAAGTCTATGTTCTTTACAGCATTGAATAGAATGATATTGCAGTTATACCTGTGATACCTTCTTTGGCTATTAAAAGGACAACTAATGGCATCTAACACAGTGCCATTGTTCAAGACATAATATGAATCTGTGATTTAGGGCTCCCACATACTTAAAACGAGAAACAATGTGAAAACACGGACGTTAAAAGTTAGGACCAGAAAACTTAATTCAAAAATTTTAATTGTTAATATATTATTTAAATAAATGACTGTTAACTAACACACAGTTTAGGGAAAGAAGAGCTCATACTTTTCTGAGAGCTGTTTCTGATACGAGAAACGTGGCGGGTCGGCGCTACGTATTCCCCTGTAGGTCGGTTAGGTTGAGCGCCTCTGACGTTCAGGCCGGCTTTGCCTTATGAAAGGGCGTTGCATTCGTTTTATTTTTTTTTAACTATGATGTACCAATCCGACACTCTTGAAATTTTTACAGATAATAGTTAAATAGTAAAGGATTATTCTTAATTTTTTCGGTGAGTGTCATCCAAGGGATTGTTTATAAAAATCATTTTCAAAGATTTATTTATTAATTTTCAACCCTTAATCATCAAATAAAAATTTTGAAAAAAAAATATGATATACAGCTAATGAATACCTACTATTTGCACTTTAATGTGACAAATATCTTAAATAGTTTCCGAGAAAAAAAATGGTAAATGTTTTGGGTTTTACCCTCATATCTCCCTTATCAGAGGGGGTAGGGGGTTGAAATTGCACACAATTGTTGTTTAGGCAAAAAGCATTATGTGATATAAATATCAACCGAAATTGTTACTGGGGCCGATTCACTATGCTTATACGGCTAAACCCTTTGTTTAGAGCAACATGTATTTGAAAAGTTGCGTGACATTCAGTTGTTAATAACATTTCCAATGCTTTATTTTTAAACGAGCTATATTACTTTTATGAAGCAAATAAGAAGATGGCGAAAATAAACTACATTGAAACAAAAGAAAGATTAGATAAAATTATTTCTGGAAAACGCAAAAATTATATGCATTTGTACACGTTGTGTATTTTACCAAGTGATTCTGCTAATTGGGTTGACCTATTTTAAAACAAGAATTTATCTAATTTAGCAGGCTGTTAAAAAAAATTAATTATCACAACTTTTACTAAATATTTTATGAATTAGTAAACGAAAGTATTTGAAAAAAATTTATTGTATAAGTTCGTAAATGTAACAATAGGCTTCAGACTTATTAATCCCCGGTCGGCGGACTATGGAGAAAGCTCCAACTTCAATTTAATTTTGAATTTCATATTATTTTTGTTTTCTTCATTTTTAATCAAACGAGTTTCATATATTGGAAGAATAATCTTTAAAGGAACAATGTAAAATTTAGAAAATGATAATATTATGAAGCACAAAATGAAATTAAAATCTTTAGAATGATAAGGAGGTATAAATTTCATTTTGCTTCATTTGTCGAATTTAAAAACATAACAATGGACAAAAGTATCAAACAATGGTATTAAGTTTAGTAAAAAATGCCATGAATGTCAGCTAATTAATATCAACTTTACCCGCTCTAGTTGTAATTGTAATTTAAAGTTATCTTTCATGGAAAGCTCAAATTTTGTTGCAACATTGCCTCCAAAATATTATCCAAAATATTCTCTATAAATGGTACATTATTTTATCTGAATAATTTTCATTGGTGTAAGTACATATGTAGTTAGGTAAGATTCCGCATTGTCTTCCTAAAAATATGAACTGGTATGTGGATTGGTCTCATTAACGTTCTAAAACATTAAAAATACCAGTGTTATAATTCTAAAATTTCAGAATTTTAGAATTCAAGTATTCTAGAATTTCGAAATTTCAGGCTTCAAAATTTTAAAATGACTAAAAGATTTGGCTTACCTCAAAAAAAGATCCTCGTTATGTCACTGATAATTACTATACCATGTAGTTTAATTTGAACGGTAACATCGTTCGAATACTTTCGTGTAGCTGTGTATATTAATAGGTAATGGTTCTATCTTGCTAACAAGCTCTACTATGCATATCGGATGCCAATACAGCTAAGCATAAGGTTTTAGGGCATGTCACGAGGCAATTGATTTCTATTCATTACTGCTAGAATATCTCACATAATTATTCCTAAGGGATCGAATACGTAGTCAATGTCGTCATTTGAAACTACGGTAACATGAAATAAAATCGTTATTAAGTGTTATTCTCTTTTAAAATTAAACGATTAAGCTTTATTAGTAGAACTTTATTTTACGAGCAAAAATTTAAAAAAAAATTATATAAATGTTTCAGTAATTGTGATATTACACTGAAGGAATTGATTTCTTTTAAGAAAGAATCATGGCTTGATATTTGAGAAAGCTAAGTTAAAAAATTCTTCAAAACATTTCATCAATAATTTTTTAATTATTGCAATAATTAATGCGTGTTTAAATTTTATTTTATATTATTTTAGCAGTAATGAATAATAATTGCACTTACCAATTAATAACTACATTTACTAATTTATAACATTCATTAATTATTGAATTAACAAAAGAATTATTAAAATCACCAAACAAATTTTTTTATAAACATTTTGAAAAGTTTTCGAACCTAATTTCCTTGATAATGAAAGTATGTATAAAAAATTATATTATAAATTCTTATATAAAGATAGAAATTGCTTTATTATCATGTTATCACCTTAAAAGATTTAAAGAATTATGAGATTGATCTCAATTAAAAATCATTGTTAGTTCATATAATTTTATTTTAATTAACCACTTTCAATACGTTTTAATAATTAATATAAGCAACTAAAATAAATAAATTGATTAAACATTGTTGACCTCATTGTTTTGTTTTTAAATATTTTTATTATTTATTTTTCGATAAAGAATTTCTAGACTTGTGTATAATATAACATTCTAATTTCAAGTCACATGATATAACGGCAAAGTTTAATCGTTTATCTTTGGAACAATCAGCACAGCAGATCTATCATCGTTCCGTTGTTACTTATTAGCACACAATAACGACATACCATAAGCCCACTGCAAGGCACACGTGTTTAGGTACATACCCTAACAGAGATAGTGTTTACATTCTGCTATAGGGCTCTGCGTGGTCGATTTTGCAGCTCGTAAAAGCTATTTTGCATGAAATCGCGGAAATGATCCATCAATTATAGTTACCACACTTGTTTAAATTCAAAACCGCAGTTGGTATGTTCTTGAAAAAAGTAACTTAAATTATACGTTGATTACATTGGGGCAGTGTTATGAATGTATCAGAAACATAATACAGTATAACCCCGGTTATCCGAAATAATGTGTTCAGGGTGATCGCATAATCGATTTTTTCGGATAATCGGATAACTGGCATTATGATTACATTCTAAAGAAAAATTATAATTTCTTACATCTTCTTTTCTTTTTTTATATTTCTTTGTCTATATTTACGTACTACACGTATTACACATGTGTATGTACATATACTTTGTACGAATATGTGTACATACACTTACACATATTTATAGGCAAATAATATTACATAAAAATAAAAATTAATAAGTGTACATACTTAATTTCATTTTATTTTGATTTTCATTCAAATTATTACTTGACAGAATTCAAAAGAAAAGGAAATGACACTGAGAAACTAAAATATATAAAAAATTTAAAAGGTAAATAGTATTAACCCTGATATTATTTAAAAAGTAGGCAAATGTAACACAAAGTGACAAGGTGTTATAAAAAAACTAATTTTTGAAATAAAATTACTACGAATGAAATTTGTCATAAAAGTTATGACAATATAAGGTTGGGCTGTATTTTCAAAAACCTCTCAAATCCGATTTGCTTCATTTTATATAAAAATAAGGTTTGCGAGAAGGATTTTTGGTGATTCGACATGGTGAATGGTGATTCTGTGAAACACATTTTACTGTGGTAATGTAACTCTCTGTACAATATATACTAGTTAAAATAAAGTGGGAAAACTCAGTCTCAGTTAGGACAAAATAAATATATTCTTAAACATATACCTAATAATATATATCATGTTTTATAAATTAGGTTAAGTTTTAATTTTTTTAAATGGGCCAGTATTGTAGCGGTTTTCACCATCGATGAGGAACCTGCCACCTTGATCACATTTCAACCGTTTATCATTTCTATTCATTCAACTTTATTATCCCAAAATAATTATACATTTATTCGCTTATATCATTCAAAACGGAAGAACGTATTAAACATTTATAAAGTCTAATTCAATAAATTGATTTACAATAATTTCGCTTGAACTGAGATGGCGCTTAAATCCGTTTCTGATAGCCCTAATTTTCGATTAAATTTGGGTTGTTTTACCGACGCAGAATTCAGATTTCAGCTACAACGCTTGTATCGCCTTAAAAATCAATATGGTAAAGACATTCCCATATTGGATCTTAATACTTGAATTGCTAAAATTCCTCTCCGCAAATATCGTTTTTTTGTTAAATGAAGCTATTTACAAAATGTCAGCCAAATTCGAATTGACAGATTTTCGGAAATTTAGCCCTGGAATGTTATCTACAGTCGAACATGTACCTAAAGTTTGTTGTACTTGCTTCTAAATTACCATTTGACAATGTTTTTAACGCTTTTATCATTTGTTGCTATTATTTTATGATTATTTATTAATAAGTAAAATTATTGAATAATAAATAAACCACCTATTTACCATAAAAAGTAGGGAAATTAATAAAATATAAAAAATTAAGCAATAATTTAATGCTTGAGCACTAAAATTTTCATAAATTCCAAAAGTGGAATTAATTACTTTGATTTATGAACGACTCAAATAACAATATAGTAAATAATTGTGGAAAATGATGTTTTTATACACCATATGCGAATATTCGAGTATCTTATCCGTGGAACTGATATCAGTAGTTTCATCTTCTGTCTACGAGAGGTCAGGCACAAGGAGAGTGATTTCGAAAAGCGGTTTATCGTTCGATACCTTCTATTGACCCTTTGCCGTATAATATCGTATCGCATTCACGACACAACTTACAGTTGAACTTACAGTTGAATTTTGAGTTAAATTCTGATAATAATTTGCCCAGTCAAGTACCGTTAAATACCATGTAAGCATGATATTTAAATTTTCATTATTTATTTTAAAATGCAAGCAATGAATAACTATCGAAAAAATAATAGCAGAAGGGATGAATGCTTTGATGACCATATATTTTCATGGAATCTACGACTCTTGTTATTTTATTCTTTTGTCTTTATACTTAACAAGAAATTGTTAATAAATTACATTTGAGTACATACTTCGTTTAATATATACTGAGACTTTATTCATTTTCAAATTGTAATCACTATTTAATAAAAATAATAGATAAAGAGAAGGTGAAAAATAGTAGCATAAAAAATTAAACATCAAAGTTGCAAATACCTTCAAGAACCAGCTCAGCCTGATGGCGCGCACGATCGATCGATTTATCGATCCGGAGTTGCCCATCGCGATCGATGCGTAAGTCATAGGTCTTCTCTCTCATTCGCGCGCAAGACCCACGCCGACGCCATTATTATATTCTTAATTAACCAGTGCAGAGGTGTCCATCTCATTGTCAGTTCTTTTATGTTACTCAAGAACGTATCAACTTATGTGTAAAATACCTTTGTACAAGCTCATCCAAATATCTAACCACCATGCAGGCTTTATCAGATACAGCTTATTTACACTATTAACTGAACAAGCACGTGAGTCGTCAACCACGTGCTTCTCATTCACGCTCAAAAACATTCACAACCAAAGCGGGCTGAATTAACGGCGCTCAGACTCACTCGACCATCTTATTCACAAGCCAACTTCTCTGACACTCAGGTAACAGACTGTAGCGACTTTATTATGCAACTCAAATTGAAATACAACTCAATTTTCGGAAACCTTCGAGCCGGATTGCGCACTTGCTAGAGTCGGTTTTCGTTAATTTCTTAAACAAATCATCGTGCGCCTCACGAATCTTTGTCTCGTGTTCGTAATCTTTATCGCTCTCAAGTCCGACATAACTCCTCATTCTCACACTCTAATTCAGGTGGCGTTCAGGCAGCTCACTGTAATACCAGATCATCGACGGCCGATAAGGAAGAGAGCAGATCATCGATATGGCACAGCTATTAAGGACCACTGACAAATGGAGTGAGATTCAGAGTGATGATTCGCAGGAGACATTGGAGGTGTCGGAGCTGAACCCCTCACCTCGCACCTCGTCAGTGCTGCACTTACATGCGACCAGGGCCAGCTTACCGGCAACGCTACCAATAGAACTGCAGCTCAAGGTGCGGACGCAAATGGGACGGCTCACCTCTATTCAGGACGTGCACGAGGCAGTGATAAAAAACTCAGGGGACCTCTCAATGGAGGAATTAGCCGATCTGAAGGCACAGATAGAAGAAGCGCTCAAGGCCTTCAACCAAGAGCATGCTTACTTGGAGGTCGTGTGGCCTACCTCGATGGCTCATCATGAGTATTTTGAAGCAAACTGCCACTTGCAAATGCAGAGAGCTTGCTCTGCGGTCAAAAGATTCATCGCCAAGGAGAAGGCATCGCTTCTCAACTTAAGGTCAACTCAACAACTGGAGACACTACCGGTCATCTCACTGCCCAAGTTCACTGGGAGCTACACCGATTGGCCACCATTCTTTGAGCTATTCTCATCAATGATTTTAACAAACACCAGATTACAGAATGTAGAAAAGTTTTACTACCTGAAGCGGTGTCTGGAGGGAGAGCCAGCTCAACTGATCTCTAACCTCCCCCTGACAGACGCCTCCCTGCAGTCCGCACTAGAACAATTAAGGACTCGGTATGAGAATAAAAGACTGCTCATTCAGGCACATTTAGATCAGCTCTTGGCTTTGCCTGCTACCAAGCACCATTCTGCAAGGTTGCTCAACCAACTTCTCACCGCCGCGATTGAGAACAGGAACGCGGTCCTCAACCTGGTCGATCCGAATCAACTGGCGGACTGTATATTAGTCCACCAGGTGAGCAGCCGCCTAGATGGTGCCACGAAGAAGATGTGGGAGTCCTCATTGGAGGCAACCAACGAATACCCCACCTTCGATCAGCTCACTCAGTTTGCCACGTCACGTGTACGAATTTTGGAACGGCTCGAGGCAGATCAAAACAAGTCAGCTCAACCGCAGTCCAAACAGGCGCCTCCACCGGAACAGCCAGTTCAGCCCGCACGGATCAGAAGAACAATTTCGCATCAGGCAGTTCCGAGAGCCTCACCGTATGAAGCCTGCGATTGTTGCGGTCGCGGCCATTACATTGTTGCATGCAGCCAGTTCAGGAGGATGAGCATAAAGGACCGGTTCATGTGTGTACAGCTCAATCGACTGTGCTACAACTGCTTGGGCAGGCACCCATTGAAGGCCTGCAAAACGACTCGAGAGTGCAAGCTCTGTTCAACGCGGCACCACACGATGCTTCATGGAAGCGAGGTCGCTTTTATGACCACATCGACTCAACCACCTGCTTCTCATCCTAAGCAAAGGGCAGGCTCATCCCAGGCATACTCATTTACTTCACCAGGAGCGCGATGAGGACCTAGCACAGTCGTCAGTTCAACTAATTCATCTCTACTCACAACAGCTCATGCTCACAACATTAGTTTCCACTCATCAAATTAGGCTCCTTATAGACTCCGGCTCAGCATTATCTTTCATATTGGAACCAGCACATCCGCTCACTTAACCTCCAAAGACACCGCTTAACCACGATCAGTCGATGTGATGATTGGAGCCGACTACTATGGATCCATCATCAACCAAACGTCATCAAGGGCATACCGTCAATACCATTGGCTCAACTTTCAATATTTGGATGGTTCATTCTTGGCCCAGTTAACATGTCTCACTCACGTAATTACCATCCTCACTTTGCAGTTGCTCACGACGACCAGAATGATCTGCAAGAGCTGCTCACTGCAAGGGCAAATTAAAGTTGGAAAGTACAAAAAAATATTATATTCTGTGTAATTATTTTATTGTTGATTTATAAACGAAAAGAAAATATTTTCTAAAACTATTCTCTTTCTATACTGAAAATAAAAAATGACCTGTGGCTCTTGTTCTTAATCTTTCCCAGAGGCAGGTCTCCTTTGCTGCATGTTGTAGTTATAGTTTCTTATAGACCATTATTAGTTTCTAAAACAAGTTGAAAAATATCAGCATAAATTGGCATGTTTCAAACGTTCTTTTTACCTCGTTCGTTGTTTAAACATGTTTTAATTTACATAATGTAATTATGATTTACAGTTTTATATAAAAAGCACTATTTAATGTTAGACTACATCTTCAAAGTTAAATATTATCATCTTTCTTAAAAGTTAAATTTTCCCGGAAGTAAATACGGCGTTCTCTACTGTAAAAGCAGTTTTGCGTAACGTATACAGGAGGGGGCCAAGTCCCATAGCTTGATTAACATTATCAAGTGTTTAATATTTTGCATTTCAGAGTTTCATAATTTCAGGGTTTATATCATTTAAATTAATTATTTATTTCATTCGAATTATCTCGTTCTATTTGTAATTTTGAGTCGAAGATTATTGAAAGTATTATTCATCGTCAATTGTTCGTTATTCATAAATATTCCCAACTCGGTATATTTCTATTTCTGATTGTTTGTGTACCTACTCCATTTCATTTCGAACATTCGCGGAATCTTTTAGATCGACATCGAACAAAAAACGGAGTTACAATAACGATATTTGGAAAAGAATTATTATGGAACTTAACGGAGCACTTTCGAGTAACGACGGGAAAAAAGGGCTTTTCTCTATAAGCCAGCTCGTACATCATCGGCACGAATCCCTTCGGACGGTTATGGAACGCTAGAAGCTGTGATAACAAAGGCACCATCGTCAAGCGATAGGAGCTTCGTAAACAAACGATGCTCCCAAGGTAAAAGTGTGATAATAAATACGTAGCCATCACGATTATAATTCATTACTTTTTCATCCACTGGCTGATGTACTTTTACACGAGTGGAATAGCTAATACCTCATTTAATTCAAAGCATTTTTAACTAATTTAATTTTTTTAAATTAACAAAATAGTCATTTGGATTAAAACAACTACTTAATTATATTCTACATTAACAACTTCACATAAAAAGCATTTAATATAAATTAATTTTTAAACATAAAAGTGGATCATTTTCTCTCTATCATGTATTCACAATAATATCACAATCCATAATTTTTTAAAGGGGATATTTCTACCCATAACCCTTGAATAGCGAAGTCTAAGAATAGGTCAATCGTGACCCAAACTTATAAAATATATATACGAGGGTACTAACCTGAAATTAAATTTATAATTTTTCTAACGAAGGGGTTTTGTACAGGGTGTCTCAGCCGACTTTCACATCTTGGTTTCCTCGGTATTGTGGCACGTAGAGAAAAATATTTCATAGGGAACTTAAATGGTATCGAGTAGGGCATGTTCTGGTGTTATTAGTTTTTTCGTACGTAGACGCGTCAAGGATATATGAAGATCAACTTTGTTTTTTTTTAATGGAATACGGTACTTTTTTATGCATCAAACGATACAGCTAGACATTTTTTATAAAAAGGTACTGACCTATTTTTGAAATCGATGAAGTAAGGTCTGGCTATTTAAAGGATAAGGTTTACGCGAAAGATTCAACTACAGTGACTGATATGAAGCAGCGTATTATCGACGAATGTGGCAAAATATCAGCCGTTACATTAAATAACATAGGCCAGTCCTTACTTCATCGATTTCAAAAATGTTGTGATGCAAATGGTCGTTATGTTGAACCATACCTGTAGATAAACGCTGTCAGTACGAATTTTAGAATTATTTAAATTGAAATATCTCCTAAACTACCAGCTTTTCGACATACAGTAAAGACTCGATAACTATTCGAAAGGATCTACAGTAATGCTTCGAAATAAGCAAGTGGTTCGGAACCGAACAGTTGCTTATTTCGAAGCAGGTAGCTATTCGGCTTGACTTTGTTCTTGAAACGGGACGATAGAGAACGCGAGAAACGAGTGGTAGCGGCAAATCATAAAGTGATCGGCCGAGCAGGGATGTTATTTTTTGGACAAGGATAGAATATAGCATGCCCTCTCATTCTCGCACTATTTCGCTTATTTCAAGGCAAATATGCTAGCCTGAGAAAGCATTATAGATATTCCATTCTTCTTCTACTAACCGATGTCATTGCTCAGTCGAGCGTGACAATTTATTACCCAAAACATCGGCTTCTCGCTTTCACGGACCTCTCACTCATTTCTCGGACCTCTCACTTTGCGGGCAACATTAAACGAAAAGGTGGGGATAGAGATTTGCTTGTTTCGAGCCGGAAAACTTGCTTATTACGGATCAATACTGTACCAGACTTACGAGGGGAACTACCCAAGTGTTACGCTCACTTATTAATGAAACTTTGCCACCTTGTAGAGCTCGTCGACCTGAACACGCCTATACCCCCTTTTGGGGGCAGACGGCTAATTGTTTAAAAGATATCATCAATTAAGGTTAGTTACTGGTTACATTGAGAAGCATGACAAAGTAACACATATAAATGCTTAGCTCCGCGGTAAAACGCTTGACTCACAATTTAACTGTCCACGGTTCAAGTCCATGGTTCCGAACTTTTTTTTTCTTTTTTCTTTTTAATGATAATTTGTCTCTTTTTGAATAACTATTACAACAGTGCTATAATTATTGCATTTATTAATAGGTAATTAATTACATGTGCTGAAATTTTTATAGAATTTAAGTTATCTTTTCTATCCAATACGTACATTAACACCCTTACCGCATTCAAAATTTACTAGCGTTTATTTGTTATTATACACACACAATTAATTTCCATAAAATACGAATATAATTTCTGTCCTATTGTTTTGGATTCTTCACTAATGTCTTCTGCGTCTTCTTCTAAAGTTGTAAATATAAATTATAACTTTGCACAGTAGTATAAATGAATGTAACTAAATAAATATAATTAAATAAATTGAACTTGTGAAACCAAATAATAACAAATAAACGCGTGTAAATTCTGAATGCGGTAAGGGTGTTAATGTACGTATTGGATAGAAAAGATAACTTAAATTTTATAAAAATTTCAGCACATGTAATTAATTACCTATTAATAAATGCAATGATTATAGCACAGTTGTAATAGTTATTCAAAAAGAGACAGATTGTCATTAAAAAGAAAGAAGAAAGAAGAAAAAAAAAGTTGGCGGGAACCATGGACTTGAACCGTGGGCAGTTAGATTGCGTGTCTACTGTTTTACCGCGGAGCTAAGCATTTATATATATTAGTGTGTCATGCTTCTCAATGTAAGGAGTAACTAACTTTAATTGTTAATATCTTTTAAACAATTAGCCGTCTGCCCCCAAAAGGGGGTATAGGCGTGTTCAGGGCGACGAGCTCTACAAGATGGCAAAGTTTCATTAATAAGTGAGTGTAACACTTGGGTAGTTCCCCTCGTAAGAAAGCATTACAGTAAAAGCTGGATATATGCAACAAACATTGGGACCCAGGTGTTGCATATATCTAGTCGAGGTGTCGAATCTCGGGTTACACGCGACGAGCAGCCAAGCGTGAACGTAGAAAAGGACAGACAGTGGCAGAAAGAGAGAGGTCCGATGATCAAAGGAAAGAGCCGAAACGTATCGGTGTGACTAATACTAATTGAATCAAAAAACTTTTTTATTTTTGACTTTTATTTAATGAAACTTGTACTAGCGCATTGGTGAGATTTTTGTGATTAAAGTGGTACCAAACACGATATAGTTTCAATTATAATTACTTGCTAAAATTGATGTTAAAAGTTGGCGAAAAGCAAAGGAGGATTGGAAATGAAAACCGGTTGCGGTGTCGGCTCGGGTTTCAAACGTTGCATATATCCAGCCGAGGTGTCGATTCTGGGCATTTAAACGTTGCATATATCCAGCCGAGGTGTCGATTCTGGGCATTTAAACGTTGCATATATCCAGCCGAGGTGTCGATTCTGGGCATTTAATGTTGCATATATCCAGCCGAGGTATCGATTCTGGGCATTTAAACGTTGCATATATGTATTTTGCCGACGTCGACCGCACAGAAAGACAGCGAGAAAAGACGAACATTTACAAGCCTAATCATCATAACCAAATGTCATAACAATATCGTGTTTGGTCTCATTTTAATCAGGAAAATCTCACCAATATGTTGGTAAAAGTTTTATTAAATAAAAATAAAAACTAAAAAAGTTTGTTTGTTGGATTAGTATTGTCTTACCGATATGTAGGCATTTAATTTGTTACGACCACCTCGACTCTCAGTCCCTCTTTCTTCTTTATTAGACTGTCTCTTTCTATGTTCGTCGACTTCGGCAAAATACAAACGATTAGCAGAATCAAATCTTCTGTTCGCTAAATGTTCCTCGCCGGTTCCAAATTCTGAACACTTATCGAGTCTTTACTGTACACAGGTTAGTACTTTTTTATAAAGAATGTCTAGCTGCATCGTTTGATGTATAAAAAAGTACCCCATTCCATTAAAAAAAAACAAAGTTGACCTTCATATATTCTTGACGCGTCTACGTACGAAAAAACTAATAACACCAGAACATGCCCCACTCGATGCCCATTTAAGTTCCCTATGAAACATTTTTCACTATGTGCCACAATACCGAGGAAGATGTCAAAATCGGCTGAGACGCCCTGTATATTGAAAAAATTGTTTGATTTTTAAAGAAACTGTAAAATTTAGAAAATGAAAGTAATATGAAATACTCTCTTCATGGTCCGCTGCCTGAATGTTAAGATTCGTTTCATTGTCGATAAAATAAAGAATTCATTCTTACCGTCAATTGAACTACTTATATTTCTGCAAAGTTTTAAATATTTAAAAATTTCTTAGTCACCAATTATATTTTATTAGTATTTATCGAAGATACATTTATACCTATAGAAGGTTAAATAATCTTTAAAAAATTTATTTATATTCCAAAATAAAATTATTTCGCGGATATCCTACTTTTATTATACAATATTTCAATCAAGAAAATTTTAAATAATTTATTTATC